GGTGTTTTGAAATCTTGAAAGTCAAATAAGTTTGAATTACCATCATTATCATTATTTAGTAATGATTATCTTAATAAAATGTTTGATACTATTCAGTATTGGGTAAAACATTTAAAAAAAAAATGTTTAAATATTTTTAGAAGTGTATATTACCTACCCCTAGCTAGTCAAAAAGTTTTTATGCAATCTAATTTGACTGAGAAATGCATTTTTTCCCAAATGAAGAAATCACATTGTTTAATACTAATAGTAATAACTTATATTACACATATAAGTGTTTAATTTATTTTTAGTTCATTTCATAAAAAGTTTATTATAGTTAATACCTAATTAGACTAATATTTTTAAATTATTTATTTTTTTTAGGAAAAATGTTATAATATAATTGTAAGACAAGCCTATAGTTAATCATGTATCTATATAATTTACCATATATTATGATATAACAAATTTTAAATCATAATAGTCACATTTTTAGTTTAAAATACATTTCATGTATATATTTGTAATACAAATATAATATTGTTAGCAATTTGTCATGTTTCTTATTAATCAAACTAGTTACAATTAAATATATAAATTTTCTTTTTTAGATACTAACGGCACGTATATTGTACAGTGTCTTAAAGATCAAGAACCGTATAAGTTGTTGAGATTCATGACGAAACATGTAGATGATAATGGTAAGTTATAGGTTGGTATAATATATTAACATTCAAGTAGCAAAGTATTAATGTTTAATATTAACCTTTAATTAAATTAAATTTGGTTACTGTTATAACTCAACATTAATAATGACATTTGTTATTATTTCAGTAATAAAATTTAAAAATGTCACTCAGTCAACACGGTTGGAAGGCAGTACCGCTAAAGGTGTCACCATCAAAGTGTATGTGAGACTTCTTAGCGAACGATCACCTATAGTTTTGGGTGAAACAAAACAAATGTTAGATTGGACTGGATTTTCAACTACTTTTAGTGATCCTAGATTTATAAAAGTTCCTATGTGGAATAATGATAAAATTACTGGACACTTGTCTTTATCGTATGCATTTTCTAGAACATCTACAGTCCAAAAATATGAAAATAATTTTTCTGAAAAACTAGAAGAAAATATAATGGATTTAGAAGATCATAAAAACCAACCATGTAAACTTGTTGAAATTTCTAATCCAGTTGATACTATAAATAAAAAAAATGCAGAAGATTATAAAGATACCATTTCATATCAAACAAAAGACCAAATATACATGTACAATAGACTATATCCTGAAAATATTGAAGATAATTTTAGAAGTAAACTAACGTTAAATGAATCACCAAAAATAGTTACAACTAAGGCAACAAAAGATAAAGAAATTCAAACCAACTTTGAAGTTCGTCAATTAAACAAATCTGTACAAACTCAAATAAAAACTTTCAATGTTGCAATACAAGTAAGTAGTGATGAATTAGAAGATCCTTTGGATAAATCAAATGTTTGCGATGTACAAAATATATTTCGGTGCACTCATGAATTCACACTTAATATTGAAAAAAAATGTGATTCGACATTCAATTATGTAACATATCAATTTCCAGAAAGTGTTACTAATAACATTGGAAAAGGTATAACTGTAATTGTAGGATGTGTTAGTAATTTAAAAATACAATATTATTTGTTTGCTTTTAGTGATCTCCAATTGTCGAGCATTCAGAACTTTTGGCAATACTAATATTCTACATTTGATCACATTGCCTACAACAATTCCTTTAGAAACTTATTTTTATAACAATTATAATAAAGTAGCTATTGTATTAAATCTTCATAAAAATAATGATGACCCTCCAGAAAAGGTAAAAATTATATAGTTTTATAGTATTATATGATCTAAATAATTTATATTTATGTATGTTTTAGGTCTCACTTCTAGTGTCTCATCTAATTGACATGGCTAATAAGTTTAAAAACTCACACATTGCCAAACATTTAATTATAAACAATAATTCATCTAAACCCGAATTATCTCTTAATAATGTCAAAATACAAATTCATTATAAACGTGTATACCATTCATTGCCATCCCCTGAACCAAAACTTAAAAAGTCGTGTGTTTCATCATACAAGACACTAAAAAAAAATTCAAAAATTTTTGTGGACTTGACTGAATCTGATTCTGAAGATGATATAAATAAGACATACACATTATTAAAACACAATAATAGGATTTCTGAACTGACTACTGAAAGCAGCACACAGACAGATCCAATACCTGTTAAAATGTCACATAATTGCATAACTCAAACAGAAAATAATGTGATACCAGAATGTATAACTATTGATGACGATAGTATTTTAATGAATAATGAAAAGGGAAGTGTAATGTGCACAGACACGAATCCTATAGTTGAAAATCAGCTAAGTTGTACAAATGCAAATATTACACAAGACACTACAACTGTTGATGGACAATTCAACAATAGTGATATTTTTAAAGCCAAAGTGATTATTGTTGGGGGGTATAACTTACCGATGGTTAAACTAAAAGGAGACACTATACCTTCAGCTCCAACTACATATATAATCATGGAAGCTTATGGTGGCAGTAGTTTCTCGACATCATCTGTTGTAGAACAAACAAACCCCATTTGGAACAGTGAATGGACAGTTCTTACACCAAGAAATAATTTAATAGAGGTATAGAAACATTTTTATTTCATGATCATTTATAAATTAATTTGCAATCTATTGTGCATATAGGTGTAGGAGGTTGTATGACTATCTAGAATTTTTGCTATTCCATAGTTTTCATATTAAATCCATTATTATTATTAAAATAAATGCAGTAAGCAAACATTTTATTTTTTGACTCATCATACTAACTTTGTTTTTACGTTTTTTGAATATATTACTCAGAGAAATTCTTACTGTAAGCTATAAATTTAAATATTTGCCTATGCTCGGTCTAAATAAGAGCATCCTCAGGTTGATACCGATTTTTGTTCCATTAGTGGCAGACTACTCCCCAGAGTTGAGTGATAAGCGATTACCCCACAAAATGTTGGTCTTCTAATCCGCTCATCTAAACTTTAAATACTTAAAACTTATAAAATACTGGTCCTATAATCAATCTTAATGTATCGAAAATCTCAGAAAAATATATCGTTTGTCCGCCTGTCAAAACTTCTGTTGTTTATGTAATCAAAATGCTGAATTAAAAAACAATTAATGAAGTTCATACAGTATAATCCATCAAAAATTATTACTACACTTTACTTTCAATCTCCTGGTAACTGAGATAACACTAATTTATTTATATTTGTATTTATTGTTCTAGTTATAATTTTACATTTCTTTTAAGGGAAAATGGCTAATTTTAGAGTTGTGGTGTAAGAAGTATAAAAATGAATATGCAGGACATGATCCAAAACGAGATATGAGACTTGGATTTATTTTAATAGATTCATCTACACTTACGTATGATCTAAATACATCTTGTGGGTTATATGATGTCATTAGTGAAACTGAAGAACACCATGGACAAATTAAAGTAAATTTTACTATCATACCTAATTTTTATTTTAGTTAATTAAACAATTTAAAAAGTTTATTATTATTATTTTTTACCCTAGGTTATAATAAATCAAATTAATTGTGTTGATCCTTGTATAAATAACAATTTTATGCCTCAACCAATTAATGAAAGAATTATTATTCAAACCAAAAACAAAAGTATAAGCAAAAAAAGAAATGACGATTTCGTGTGAGTTACCTTTTTATTACTTGACTCATAACATAAAAGTTATACATTAGAATTTTGACTAACTTGTACATGCAAATTGTTGTTTTGTTGAGTTACGAAAGGTGTTAGCTCTCCAACATTTGTTCTCTTGATTCATATTTAGTAAGATTCCTTTGTACATAAGTACATTACATCAATTTCAATACATCTAAACTATTTAAGCACCTTAATTATTTAAATAGATGTATTTCATACGCTTAAAAGTTAATAGTTCAGTAAAAAAAGTACATAGAAAATTATTAATAAAATATCCAACATTCATTTTTCTTTTTTACATAATGATAAAATTCTGAATTTTCGTAAAATCGTAAGTTGCCTTTGAGAAATTGATAATTTCAGCTGTTTTTAAAAAAACAAATAATTATTTGGATTTTTGAATCAGTTTGCACTTTTAATTTATTTATAAACAAAATGATAACATAGTTTGAAAAATTATTAATGTTTCAAGAAATGAAATGATCGGAAAAATGCAAATTGAAGATAATTTTCATGTGGAAACTAGAAATCCTAGAAACACTGTTACAGTAAGAGATGGAAAATTCAATCAACATACAGATCTAACTGAAGATTCCCTCCAAAAGTTTAGCGAGACTCAATTAAAGAATACAGTTGCTGAATCTCGTGTAACTGGTTGTTTTTATAATAACGATAATGTATTTGACAGTATGGGAACTATAAGTTCAGTTACATCTTGGACAAGTTCTTCGGATGATATATTATGCTCAAATAATTCTCAGGTAATTTATATAAGTACATGTTTTTTAATTTAATTTATTAGTAAATAGTTATAGATTGTTACCCATGCATGCACTCATGTGCAATATAAATTGATTTAAAAGTCAAATTTATCATTTGTAATTATTTTAATTACAGTTTTATTTATAACTATGCTAATTTTGTCTAAGACAAGACAATTTATTAATAAATGTTTTCAATTGTAATATATTTTAATTTCAGATCGTGAACAATATTCTAAGTAACAAAACCAAAATGAATCGAATAAAACAAATTATTCGAGGTTAAATAGTTGTTGAATACTTACTTGTAGTACATCATTTAATATTATATCTTACCTATTAAATTTAATGAATTGTAAAGTTTCCTGTTAATATTATTGTATTCAATTTAATATTTTTATTTTTCGGTTTTAAAATAAAGTATAACTGAAAATTAATCCGTTTTGGAGAGTTAAATATTAGTATTATATTACCAATTGATGTTTCTTTTGAATGTATATATTTTATTTTAGTAGTAAAATTGTATAGTTTTTTACTGAAACGTTTATAAAAAAATAATGTACTTTATTATGTTTTATGGGAATGTAAGACAATCTTTCATTGTACATTTTTTTTGTAAGACGGACATCAAAATAATATTTTTAGTAGTTGCAAACTATTACAAAATTATAAGGTTTGACATTATGGCATTATTCGTCAATATTTCCTTCTTAGTTATGAAAAGAACATAATACTACAAGGTAAAACACGTGTAGAAAACATTTTGTAATTGAAGATTTTAACAATTAGCTTAAAAGTGTAAAAATAAGTCCATGTTTCAAATATGTTGACATTATTTTTAGTAATCCAATGATCAAATTCATTAGCATTTAGCTATTATGATATCGTTAAATACCCAAACTGGCATAGTTTGTTCCACAAAAAATTCATAAATATGTTTATATGTGTTTAGGCGGATAACAATAGAATCACTAATCAAATGATTTTTACAACATTTAAAAATGTATGTATGAGAATATCTAGCCATTCATTTAAATATTTATTCTTTTATTTACAAAATCATTTATTTATTACATGTGTTAGAGAGAGATTCAGATGAATGTATTGGTTTTACCATAACTAAATAAATCGGTATAATCACAAAAAACCAGTTTTCAAACTTGCATACCCTCTCTATTCAACAAACAAAACCATTGCTCGTAGTTTTTGGCATTTCATTGGTTGTCAGTGTAAATAAAATAATATAATAGAAGTGGAGAACTACACGATAGACGTGGCAAAGTGGTATGCATATCACAAAGTTGTGATCATACCTATTTATTTGGTCATGGGTTTTACAGTTTTTTTAAAGAAAAAATTTGTTTATAGACACTAGTAAATCTTCAACTTTGATGGAAGTTTCTGATAGCAAATTGGATCTAGTCTGTACCTGAACAATCTAACCGCCTTGTGTGTCATATGTGATACACGTCTAACAATTACCCTTCAGACCCAGGGCATAGGGGATAAGTACCCCACCTGTTAACAAAATAATTATAATATGATGTTTCATTAATTATTATTATTAAAAATCAGCCACGTAAACATTTTTGAATAGAAATGCCCCCTCATCCCTACAGTGATTCTGAATCTACCCTCAAAGAGTACTGTAATGTTTAATGTAACAGCAAATTAACCTACTAAACAAATTTAAAAACAAGAATATTATTCAATGTTTTTAGTTGGAAAGGCATTGCCTACATTCATTATACAGAATGTGTTAAATGTATTAAAGTTGGAGTATACTGTTGTAAATGACAAAATAATATTAATAATGATTCTAGAGAAATTCATGAAAAATAATTTGTATTTTTGTGAAAAGTAACAACTAAATATTGAACATAAAAACATAAATTAAGAGGTGTCAAATGTACTAATATATATATTATTTTAAACAAATAGGTACCTACCTATAAATTTTATGTTTTGTTGAGTCACTAATTATAATTTATAGATTATTAATTACAAAAAATATGTACTACTTAACAAATACCTAACTTGGTATATTATAACATTTATAACTAATCAAATCTTCTAAATTGTGTAGGTAATTTTGTTTGTGACCTACGTAACTTTTGTTGGAGATATTTAATTTTCCTTTTTAATGTTAATTCATTGATTTACAACTATTGAACTATTTGAATTACAAATGGGTTTATTCAAAATATTGTAATAATAGATCTATTAAAATTGATTGTAAATGGCATTACATATTGTTGTATTTTTATGAAATGCCGTGTCATAAAAAAAAGTACCCATAGATAAGTAAATAAAATTTGGAATTTAATTTAGTTTATCAAAATAATAACGATCAAATACAAATAATATATGAATAGTAAATACTTTCATCATAAAGCAATTTATTTCTTAATGCATATAATTTTCTATTTTTGAGGGTTTTGGCTGTTAATAATAAGATGGATTTTTTTTAAGAATCCAGTCTAAGGATAAAATCTTCACTACAAATTCTACACCATTGTGTAGGTTTGAAGATCTGGACCTTTTCCGTTAATTCACTACCACTATTTTTTTTTTGGTTTTTCCGTTTTTTTTTTTTTTTAGATTATTATTCACTACCACAATTTTTTTTTTTGGTTTTTCCTGTATCTTATGTTATTGACTTATCTTATCGCTTTCAAAGAACACGCGTAGGGTCAGTCAATGGTTGAATTTGAGTAGGTAACCATGAATTTCCTTACTCTAGCTAGCGAATGCGATACAAAGTTAAATGCAGTG